TTGCCCTAGGCTTTTGCACTTGCTCTGGGCTTACGGCGTCAGCGCCTCAGCTCGGCTCAGCTCGGTATTCGAATCAGACTCGAGGCGCAGATCCATACCTTGGGACGACTTGGGACGACTTGGGGCCCCAGGAGTTGAAGAAGATCCGCCTTCACCTTAAGCGCTGCATGGCTTAACACCAAGACTTCGGGACTTCGGCTGCAACTTGCAGGCGGTGAGGGCCGTGAGGGCCGTGAGGGCTGTGAGGCGGTGAGGCCCTGAGGCCATCGCTTTTGCTTGGTCACACCATGTCATGCCTTTTTCACCTTTTCACCTTGGCTGCTCTGGCACTGCGGTGGTCCCTGCAGAGGCCGCACGCAGTTCTTTTTTTCGGGGGACCGCAGGAAAACCGCAGGGACCTCGAAGGCTGGGTGGAACCGAGGTTTCGATGATGCCAGTGCCGAGCACGCGAGACGGAAGGCTTCTAAGGGCATCAGCACCAGTCACACGGACGCACAGCAGCCAAAGAGTCCCAAAAAAAGCTGGCAGACGAAGCCGTGGGCATAACGGTTATACCATCACCGTGTCCTCGCCGTGTCACCACCCACCGCGCCAGGGTGACAAAGCTTGCTCACGTCTCGGACACAGATGGAAGGCTCATTACGCCCTTGTTCATTCTTCCTCTCTCTTGTCTCGTAGGTCTCTTTTCTTGAGCGTACTGGATAGTACTGGTCCGCTGGGTCTGTAAACGGGCCGAGAGCTGACGCGAAAGCTGCGAAATGGTGCTCAGCGGCTGCACAACGGATGCAACGCGGGCTCGATGCGCACGCTGCGCACGCTGCATTAGCTGAGCTCAAGCCAAAGACTTACAACCAACATAGCCAAACGGTCCGAACGGTCCTGCTAAGCCAAAGGAAGCTCTTCTGCTCCAGGCATGGGGAGCAACTGTCTGCACGGACCCGCCCGGAGAAGCCGACACAGGACGAGACGGACGAGACAGAGACGGGACAAGGGCAGCAAGGGCAGCAAGGGCAGCAAGGGCAGCAAGGGCAGCTGGGAACACCGGGAACACCGGGAACGCCGCGAACACCGGGAAAACCTACGACCAAGTCCAAGAGCAGGCAAGAAAGGGGACTGAGTAGACTCAGACTGGAGACTAAGCGCTTTTTAGAAGCACATTAGGGCCCCACTCACTCAAGGGGCTCCTTGACTGTGCGCCACGCGTGCAACGCGTGCAACGCCTGCAACGTGTGCAACGCGTGCAACGCGTGAAACGTGTGCAACACCGCCTGAGAAAAGGTGGAGGGCTCCGTTGGCTCCTAGCAACTTGGAGACCAAAGTCCCGCAGGCGGCGCTGAGCGTGGCGGAGCCTGAGCCTTTTTCTGCACCTCGGCGTTTCCAGCTGGTCTCAATTTCCTGGCCAAAGAGTGGAAGGACTCGGAAGAACTCTTTCTGAGCAAGACTCTCCAGTGTGTACTGTGCGACAGCCTTCTCTAGTCTGCTCTAGATTACGAGAAGCTTATGCGTCGCGTCACCTTCTGTCAAGGATCACGTGTGCGGCAATGAGCGTTGTGCGTGTTGTTCCTCGCCTCGAACGAGGTGTGTTCATGCGGGGCCAAGAGGGCCAAGGGGGCCAAGGGGGCCAAGGGGGCCAAGGGGGCCAAAGAAGGCCAAGCAATCCAAAGACAGCCTGAAAACAGGCTGGCCTCTGGTCATCCGGTCGCTTCAGCCAGGCCTTGACTTATGCGTTTCGAGTCTTTGTCTGGCTTTGCACGAGGCTCAATTTGACCCAACTGGCCCAACCGCGCCTCGCAGCGGACCACACAGCGTGCGCACGGCCGCACGGCGCAGCGCGCCACACAGCGGTGCGGAGGGCAGTCGAGAAGGGCGAGCTTGGCGCCATGATGTGCCATGCGTGCACCACGTGCCGTGCCTGCCGTGCCTTCTCGCCTCTGACAGAAAGGTATTTGCTCTGAGCTCACTGGAACCTCCTGGATTCACTGGATGCTGAGCTCTGGCAACATACCCGATGCCGATGCCTCAAAGCGCACAAGCCGTGCTTCGATTCGATCTCCGAACAACTTGATGCTCCCCACCGGCTTCAATTCGTTAAGGACGCGCTGCATTCAGGCCTTCAGGCCTTCAGGCCTTCATGAGTCCATTCATGAGTCCATTCGAGGGGCTCCTTTTGAGCAGCTTTCAGAACTGTCTTCTAGCTTGAAGCCTTTAACAGCTCGAGCTGCCTCTGCACGGCCTGACCGGGACCGGTTGCACTGCGCCTTGGGTACGTGAGAGCTCTACCAGTCGAAAAGAAGGGGTCTACTTCTTGGCGAGAAAAAGAGTCTACATGGGCTTCGAGGGGCGCTTCGAATTTTGGCAACTGTTGGGCAAAGCTGGGCCTCTGCTGCATTCTGCCTCTGTTCTCCAAAAATGCCTCCTGCTCCACTATCGCTGCGCTCCCCGCATCTCTGCGCTACGTCACTGCTACAGGCCCAGGTCCGGCAGAGGGTCCATCAAGTCAGCCTAACGCTGCTGAAAGCCTTCTTGTGGGGCATCTTCTTGAGCTCTCTCAAAAAGCTTCTTTGCTCCGAATTGACATGGTGATGCATTCACGCGCTGCTCTGCGCTGCTCAGATCTGCGCTCAGCAGAGCAGCAAGTCTGCGCTCCAGCCGGGCAGGGGGGCAAGTCATGGCAAGTCCACCCGTGGGCTGCCTGGGCTGCCTGGGCTGCCTGCCGCGGCTGCTGCCGCAGCTGCCGGCTTACATGGCAACGCTTATGCTTACAACTCAAGAACGCCGTCCCTCAGAGTCATGTGACAGACTGCAAAAGCGTAAGACGAGCGTGGAGACCTCACTGTGCATTCAGACCTAAGTGCTGCGACCCCTTGCGAGCATACACCTTCAGACTGCCTTCACAAGAAGTGTTTCTAGACAAGGCAACCGCTGACGGCCAGGGACTCGTGCCCGGGATACGTTAGCCGCCAATGTGTGAGGAAGAGTTGGAAACCGTTAGGAAAGTGTGCAGCAACAGCATGCAGCGAAAGTGCAGCCAAAGAAACGGCAATGAAAGGCAACAGAGGAGCTTCCATTGCCCACAAGGAAAAGGTGCAAGGCCTGCAAGGCCCGAGGTGCCCTAGGTGAAAGGGAAGCGGGCGGTGGGTCACCTTGGTCACCTTCAGTTGGCACACAGTTGGCACATCTTGGCGTGGAGCCAACGGAGCCAAGGGAGCCAACATGGCACCATCCTCTATGGAGACCTCAACCATCCTTAAAGCTTCGCAAAGCCACAGCCAGGATGGGGCCACTGAGACTTAATCCCACCTTCGCAGAAACAGCAGGGCATCTGGCTCTGAGAGATCGCCGAGATCGGCATCTCGTTGAATTTACGCCTCTCCACCGGCACCTTGCCAGGCATCAGCCTCTCGCCAAGCGCCTGGCGCGAGTAACTGCTACGTCACCTGCGAGTCATCTCATCGCTGCAGCCCTTGCAGAGCCTCGAGCCTTGCATCTCATCTTAGACTCATCCTGGGCATTCCAGGCTTGCAGTCAGGCTTGGAGTCTTGGAGCCAGAGAGCACTGGATGAGAGGGCACTTATGAGAGCACTTAAACCTCTCTCTCGACAATGAGGCCTTGAGATTCAACTCTCAGGGAGTCTGAGCAGAAAGAAGTCAAAATGATTGGAATGAGGATAATGAGGCAGGGAGTCTGCAGGGCAGCCTGTCTGCATGCTCTTTACGAGACCGGGAGCGACAACACGGGAGCGACCAGGAGTCCGGAGTCTGCTGTGTTCAAGGCTTCGCTAGCCAAAAAACCGGGCGCCTCACACGGCCTCGCACGGAACTCGATGCACGTCGCATCTCACAGTCAAAGCAGTGCGCCATGTGCCTTTCCCTTGGCTTAAGGACCTGGAAAGACTCTGCAGAGCTGCCAGAGCTTGGAACTTGACGGTGCGGGATCTCTTTCTCGAATGGCGATGATAACGATGGTAACGATGGTAACATGTGTGACAGGGACGGGGATGTGCTAACCTTCAGAATGTACACAAGTGGCACAAGTGGCATGGGTCACGTGCGTGCACACGACTTGGGCACTTGAGGAAGCCGACTTTGGGGGCTTTCACTGCCCTCACACTGGCTCAATGGTGGCGATGTCGGATGGTTTTGCCAGAATGAGTGAAGCCTAAGGGCCGCCACACACCTGCCTGCTGCAGCTTTTCCACATCCACTCTGAGAGAAGTGGCTGGTATGCCTGGTCAAGTGCCTGGTATGCCTCCCGTACTTCCTGCACTATGTGCCATATGTGCCATCTGCCGGTGCCCCTTCGAAGCCTTCCCCACATCCCAAGCGCGTGAACTGCGTGAGCTCGAGCGTCATTCCGAGCCTTGACACAACCATGGCCACAGCCAGGGAAGGCAAAGAAAGGAAAGGCGCCAAAGGCGCCCACAAAAGCCCAGTGGGAGATGGAGTGGGAGATGGCCCTGACGCGTTCATCTCAGACCTTCACGGTGGTCACAGCGCAATGTGGGGCCAGTGGAAAGCGCGCAACGCGCACTGCCCCTGTGAACCTCGGCTCGGCCCGAAGCTTTAAGCAAGAGAGAGAGAGAGAGAGAGAGAGAAGAGAGAGAGAGAGAAGAGGGAGAGAGAGAGAGAAGAGAGAGAGAGAGAGAGATGAGAGAGCGTCTGTGACAGCCCCTGTTGATATTGTTGCATGTGCCTTCTTTCTTTGTTTCTTCAAGGCATAGAGGGGCCCAACGGCATCCCAACCACCAGTGCGATCAAGCCACCATCCACACAGCGATTGCCACGTCGCCCACACGCACGATCTACACGGATCTAAAGTGCTGGCTTTCTGAAGTGTTGTTTAACAGTGTTCGAAAGTGTTGTGATTCCCTTGAGAAACATTGCGGATGCAGACGCCGAAGCATGGGCTCACGCTTAGCTTAGAACCCCACCCGAACACGACAAAAACGAGTGCAATACCTGGGTTCCCTGAGGGGCCTTTTTGCGACTCAACTCAGCTATCAGCAATGCGAGAAAGAGAAGCCGCATGACGCCAGCACCACTACCTGAGAAAAACATGCTCGACATACAAAAACACGAAAGGTGGCAGGGTTTCGGGTTCAGGGTTTTTGGGTTTAGGATTGAGGGACCCGAGATTGAGATAGTTTAGATAGTTTGGGAGGCTCCCGGGCGGAACCCAAAACTACTTAAACTATCCAAACTACCTAAACCAGGGGAGGGTTTAGATAGTTTAGATAGTTTAGATCGTTTAGATAGTGGGTGAAAGGCCCAAACTATCTAAACAATCTAAACTATATAAGCTATCTAAACCAGGGGGTGTTTAGACAGCTTAGATAGTTTGGTGGGGGGGGGGGGGGTCCTGGTGGAGCCCAAATCTACCCAAACTATCAAAACTATCTAAACTATCTAAACCAGGGGAGGGTTTAGACAGTTTAGATAGTTGGGGGAGAGGCCCAAACTATTTAAACTATCTAAAATATCTAAACTATCTAAACTATCTAAACCAGGTGGGGGGGTTTAGATAGTTCAGATAGTCAAGATAGTGTAGATAGTTTACATGGTGTAAATAGTTTGGGGGGTTTGGGGGGTTTGAGTATTTTTCCCGAAAGCATCGCGAAGGGTTCTTCTGTGCGGAGCCCTCTGACCCAACAACATAGAGTGAAGTGCATGAAGTGCATAGAGTCGAGTGCATAGAGTCAAGTGCATAGAGTCAAGTGCTTAGAGTCAAGTGCATAGAGTCAAGTGCGTAGAGTCAAGTGCATAAAGTAGAATTCACAATTTGAGTACATTTTAGTACAATTTCATAGGCGTTACGAGATTTTAGTAGAATTTTCGTAGAATTTAGTAGAACTTCGTACCCAGTCCTAGATTTCTTAATTAAAATTACTCTTTCGAAGGCGGCGGGCTGGGTTGACATCGCCAATCGGGATTGCAACCCTCTGCGGGTTTCGGAGAGGTCGCGGTGCTACAACCGTCGTGTTTTGACGTTTCTTTCTGTGCGCGGACAACCCTCTGCGGGTTTCGGCGTGGTCGCGGTGCTAAAACCGTCTTTCTTGACGTTTCTTGATTTGCGCGGACAACCCTCTGCGGGTTTCGGCGTGGTCGCGGTGCGAAAACCGTCGTTTTTTGACGTTTCTTTCTGTGCGCGGACAACCCTCTGCGGGTAATCGCCTGGCGGCGGTGCTAAAACCGTCGTTTTTGGTACTTTTTTTCGTGGGCGCAGACAACCCTCTGCGGGTTTCGGCGTTGGCACGGTGCCAAAACCCTCGTGTTTTTGCATCTGGTGTGATTCGCGCGCCCTCCTTGCGCAGGCCAAAAAAAAGGAGGCGCGCGAATTACACCAAATTTTGTCCGACTTGTCGCTCACATTTCCGACAAAACCCAGAGGATAAAATCTGGTGTGATTCGCCCTCCTTGCGCAGGCAAAAAAAACGGAGGCGCGCGAGTTACACCAAATTTTGTCCGACTTCTTGTCGCTCACATTTCCGACAAAACCCAGAGGATAAAATCTGGTGTGATTCTCGCGCCCTCCTTGCGCAGGCAAAAAAAACGGAGGCGCGCGAATTACCGTCCTTGTCGCTCACATTTCCCACAAAACCCAGAGGATAAAATCTGGTGTGATTCGCGCGCCCTGATTGCGCAGGCAAAAAAAACGGAGGCCGAGGCGAACGAATTACACCAAATTTTGTCCGCCTTCTTGTTGCTCAAGTTTACCACAAAAACTCAGCGGACTAAATCTGGCGTGATTCGCAAGCCCTCCTTGCACAAGCAAATACGAAGGCGCGCGAATCACCAAATTTTGTCTGCCTTCTTGTAGCTCAAACTTACCACAAAAACCCAGAGGATAAAATATGGTGTGATTCGCGTGCCCTCCTTGCGCAGGCAAAAACAACGGAGGCGCGCGAATTACACCAAATTTTGTCCACCTTCTTGTAGCTCAAATTTACCACAAAAACTCAGCGGATAACATCTGGTGTGATTCGCACGCCCTCCTTGCACAAGCAAATACGGAGGCGCGCGAATCACACCAAGTTTTGCCCACCTTCTTGTTGCTCAACAAAACTCAGCGGATAAACTCTAGTGCGATTGGCATTCCCTCGTTAAAAGGAAGCACGCGAATCGATTGGATTTGCTAGCCATATTGCTAGCCATATTTCCTTTTGTTTCAACAAGCCAAACCAGTCCGAATTTAGGAATTTAGGAGTTTTGGCCTTCAGCCGAAATTCCTAAATTCCTAATTTCCTGGAATTAGGAATTTAGGAAGTTTTAGGAGTTTCGAGGAATTTCAGAAGTTCTACTTCTTCTGGGTTTCCGGCACGCCGCCATCGGAATCCCGAAATTATTTGAACTTCTGACATTCCTTGAAATTCCTAAATTCCCAAATTCCTGGCATTAGGAATTTAGGAATTTAGGAGTTTGGCTTTCAGCCATTCAGATTTTTCTGAACTCTGAATGGGTTGATTTTCTCATGAAAAAACATGTATCTTAGGATGGTTTAAATTTTGGGCCGTAATTTTCTATTATTGAGACCTGAAAACCTCAAACCGTAAACCCTAAACTTTGGCTCATGGGGTTGGGGGTTGATGGAGGGTTAGGGGTTGAGGGTTGATGGAGGGTTGGGGGGTGAGGGGTGGGGGCATGGGCGCAGGTCTCGCCGAAATTTCTAGTTGATAAATGCCTAATATGGAAAAAATCTGGTGTGATTCGCGCGCCCTCCTTGCACAAGCAAAAAACGGAGGCGCGCGAGTCACACCAAATTGTGTCCGCCTTCTTGCTGCTCAAGTTTACCACAAAAACTCAACGGACTAAATCTGGCGTGATTCGTCGCAAGCCCTCCTTGGCCAGCAAAAGCGGAGGCGAGCGAATCACACCAAATTTTGTCCGCCTTCTTGTAGCTCAAATTTACCACAAAAACTCAGCGGATAACATCTGGTGTGATTCGCGCGCCCTCCTTGCACAAGCAAATACAAAGGCGCGCGAATCATACCAAGTTTTGTCCGCCTTCTTGTTGCTCAACAAAACTCAACGGATAAAACTGGTGTGATTGGCATGCCCTCGTTAAAAGGAGGCACGCGAATCGATTGGATTTGCTAGCCATATTGCTAGCTATATTTCCTTCTGTTTCAACAAAACAATTTTATCTTTTGGGGAAAAGGCCCCGCCTGTTTGAACAATTTAGAAAGTTAGAGGCTTTTGTTAACATTTCAAGGTCAGCAAGGGTTTTTACAAATTGAAATGGACAGGATACTTCCCCAGAATAATTGTTTCTTTTCAATTTCCAAGGGTTTTAAGGAATGTAAGGGCCCTTTTCAAATCTTAAGGGGCCTCTGTGGCATATTCGTTACGTATCAACAATCTTCCCGCGAAAACATTCTTCGAGCTTTGTCTCCTGAAAAAATGCAAAGATTATTCCCCTCAATTTCGGCTCGAGTCCCTCGAGTTTAGGCCTGATTCCCTTGAAATTCTTGGACGTCCTCTTTTTTCCCCTCGATTTTGCAGAAGCCCCTTGACACGTCTTGCGGTTTCGGTTCCCCTTCCCCTGATTTTTTCCAAGGGAAGCTATTTTTTCCCCCTGATATCCCCGGCGAAACGTTCACTCATTGTTTCCCCTGCACCTGAACTGAAATCACTAAATCTTCAACGAATAAGGTTTGGTCCTAACCCTTAGACGAATAAGGTTTAGGAATAGGGTTAGGCTTAAGTATTAAACGAATAAGCTTCAGCCATAAGGTTCAGCAAGTAAGGTTTAAGAATAAAGCTATCAGCCCCAGAGTCCCGCGCCCCTCCCCCCCTTCCCTCTCCCGCAACCTCGTCTTGCCCAGCCGCGTGGTTTAGGAATCTAGAATGAATAGACCTCAGTGTCTGGCGCAAAAACTTGAACCAACAAGGTTCATGCATACGTTTTGGCCTTAAACGTTGTAAAGGAACAGGTTTAGGTCTAAGGTATGTCTGTCCCTAAAACCTAGAGAAGCATACGTAAATCTTGGAATAGGGTCTGACCCTAGGCCTTAATCGAAAACGGTGTTTAGACATCTAAACCTCATGCGAGTAGGGTTTATGAGATATTTATTTGTGATTCTTGGGGATAAACCATGTGTGAGTCCTATTGAGAAATGATAGCTGTTTTGGGTGACCCTTTGGGAAACACTGACATGAAAACCCACATACTTGCGAGCAAGTCAGGCTTGTGGTGAGGCCCAGAACACAGAACATGGTGACAGGACACTTGCTCACAATAATCTCGCTGCCTCGGGGTTACATATAAAGGTGTATTCGCATGGTCCAATGCCCTCAAAAACTTCCTAGTCTTCCGGTTTGAGGATTGCCGCCCTTTCCTCTCCATTTCTCTATTTGATATACAATACAATACATATACGCTATACGCGTACACGACGTGGGTAGACATTCTAGCTGTTCATGCAACACATACATCCTATATACCTGCACGACGCGGGTAGAAATTCTGCCGTTTCACACAACGCATACACCGTTCGTTTTTTGAGAAAACACGAGGGAAAAAGAGAAAGGACCTTCTTCCCCATTTTTCTCGTCAAAAGGGAAAAGAAGATATCTGGGTAGAATTGAAGAGAGAAGAGAGCGATGGAAAAGCAATGGGAAACAAGAAGGATAGCCTTTTCTGTCTATATGACGTTCGCTTCTTCTCATCGTTTGTTCATTTGTCCTCGGTTTGTGTCTTGCCTGCCGCTTTTCCCTTTGCAGAAGACAGAAAAGGAAAGGGTGCAAATGGAGCTTCCGTCACGTCCCTTTGCACACTTTGATTATTTTACCAATTCCCGCGAAGATCCTACAAACAAAAGAACGTGCTCTAGGGGGGGAAGGGACCTTCTTGCCACGAACAAAACAATGCATCCTTCCCTCTTTTCCGTCTATTTGCTTCGACTTTCCTTGTCCTCTCTTGTATTCATTTGTCTCGTGTATAAGAAAAGAACAACGAGGAGAGACAAGAGAGAAGAGAGAGGATGATGGCGGCGAGATTGGTGTGTATTCTTGCATGTTCAGTTTCTCTGCTGTAAGAAGAGCGCGAAAGAAGTGGGAAAACAAAAAAAATGCAGGATGAGTAGTGAATGAAATTGGCTTGCCTTATGTGCTTCTTGCCTTTCTGTAAGGAGATAAACAAAGCACATGGATAAGACGGGAGAAGGAATTTCTTCACCCTGTTGTGTACCCGACTTTCACAAAAAGAGCAAAGGGAAGCCTTGTTGTTTTCTTCCCACCTTCTGCAGCGAACCAAAGAATGTCTTTTTCCATCTTTTCTCATCCGTTTGCTTCTCGTCTATAAGAAAGGAACAAAGAAGAGAGACAAGAGAGAAAACGAAGGATGAAACTAGAAGATAAGTTTTCCTTGCGTGTTCATGTTGCTACTCTGCAAGAAGAGAGCTGAACAAGTTCGAGAACAAGGGGGAGAGAGTTTCTTCTTCTTCCGCTTATTTATCCATTGTTTTTCAAGAAGAGAACAGAGAGAAGCACTCTTGTCCATTCCTTTTGTTTCCCTTCTACTGTGTCTTCCTCTCTCGCTGACTGAGAAAAGACAAGACTGTTAAGATCAAGGACACCGAAACTGGACAGGGAAGCCTTTTCCGTTTTTCTTATCTATCCTTTGAATCTCCTCAAAAAAAGAACAGAAGACATACGAACGCAGGAGAGAAAGAAAGCAAATGAGAGCGAATACGGGAAATCAACCCTGCTCTAGCCCCCTTTTGCATGGGACAAAACAATGTTTTCCGTCTCATTTTTCTCAATACGATAAGAGAGAAGCACACTCTGGTCCATTCTTTGCAGCTTTCCTCCTACAATCTCTTCCTCTCTCGCTGAATGAGAAAAGACAAGAGCAAGGGCAGCGAAAAGGAACAAGGAAAACTTTTTCCTCCTTTCGTCTCCTTTCTAGCTGTTCCCCTGAATCTCCTACAAGCAAAAGGACAGAAGACATAGGAATGCAGGAGCGAAAGAAAGCAACAGAAAGGGTATAAGGGCACTCAGCCCTGCTCTACGGGGGGGGGGGGGGGGGGGGGGCCCTCCTTGCCACGAACAAAACAATCCATCCTCCCTTCTTTTCCCGTCCATTTACTTCTTTTGCTTGTCCTCTTGTGTGTTCATTTGTCACGTGTGTAAGAAAAGAACAAAGAAGCCAGACAGAGACAGACAGACGACAGACAGACAGACAGACAGACAGACAGACAGACAGACAGACAGACAGACAGACAGACAGACAGACAGACAGACAGACAGACACAGAGAGAGGGAGAGAGGAGAGGAGAAGCGAGGAGAGGAGAAGAGAGAGAGGATGAGGGTAACGAGATTTGGTGTGTGTTCTTGCATGTTCAGTTCCTCCACTGTAAGAACAGAGTGAACAAAGAGGGAAACTAAAGAGGAGGGAGGATGAAAGTAGTGAACGAGCCTCAATGGGACCAGATAAAAGCAAAGGCAGGGGTGGAGGCGAGGGATCCCTACCGAAGCTTGTCTCATTCCATCTCATCTCCACTCCTCTTTTGCCTGTAGCGAGACCGAAAGAAAAGGAAAGTGTCCAGCTTTCTTTCCTTTCTGAGACGAGTAAAGACAGTACAGACATGGAAGTAATAGGAAGAGGGCAGGGGTAGAATTGAAGAGGGAAGAGAGCGATGGAAAAGCAATCAAACAAAAATCGTCTTTTCTGTCTTTACAACGTTCCCATTCGTCTTCGATGCGCGTGTGTGTATTCGTCCGCTTTTCCATTTGAAGAAGACAGCGTGTCCATTCTCTCAATAAGATAAGCGAGAAGCGCTCTTGTCCATTCTTTGGTTGTTTTCCGCCTACAGTCTCTTCCTCTCTCGCTGCATGAGAAAAGGAAAGAGCAAGGACAGCGGAGAAAAGGAAAGAGCAAGGACAGCGGAAAGGGGCAAGGAAACGTTCTTCCTCCTTTTTAGCCGTTCCCTCGAGTATCCTACAAACAAAAGAACAGAAGACATAGGAACGCAAAAGAGAAAGAAGGCAAAAGAGAGGGTATAAGGGAAATCAGCCCCGCTCTGAGGGAGCCTCCCTTCTTGCCACGAACAAGACGATGCATCCTTCCCTCTTTTCTCGTCCATTTGTTTCTCTTTTCCTTGTGCCCTTGTGTGTTCACTTGTCTTGTGAAAAAGGAAAGAACAAAAAAGAGAGTCTTGCGTGGTCAGTTTCTCTGCTGTAAGAAGAGCGAAAGAAGTGGCAAAACAAAGACGAGGGAGGAAGAAATTAGTGAGTGGAATTGGCTTGCCTTGCATATGTATTTGTCTTGCTGTGAGAAGAGAGCGAAAGCGTGGGGAAAAGAAACACGAGGGCGGATGAACGTAGTGACTGAAATTTGTGGAGAGAGCCAAAGAACAGGGATAAGGGGGGAGAGGGAATTTCTTCCCCCTGTTGTATACCCGATTTTCACGAAAAGAGAACCGGGAAGCACTCTTGTCATTTCCTTGTTGTGTCGCTCCCTCATTTTGCAGCGAACCAAAGACTGTCTCCTTCCCTTTCTTCTCGTCAATTCATCTTCTTGTATATTCAATGTTCGCTGGCGTAAGAAAAGAAGAAAGACGACAAGAGATGAAGGTAATGAGATTGACTCATCTTCTTGTATTTTACCCTTTCTCGTTTGCAAGAACACAGCCAAAGAAGAGGTTGAAGAAGAGAGAGGGAGGGCGAAAGCCTTTTAACGATATATTCCCTTCAATCTGCTCGCGTAGAAGAAGGAACAGATGACATCGGAGCACGAGAAACCAGGCAACAGTGTGAGAATGACTGGTCTCAAGTCTGTTTCAGGGGGAGGCTCTAGGGGGAGAGAGAGAGAGAGGGAGGGAGGGAGGGAGAGAGAGAGAAATAGAGACAGAGAGAGAGAGAGAGACAGAGAGAGAGAGAGAGAGAGAGAGAGAGAGAGAGAGAGAGAGAGAGAGAGAGAGAGAGAGAGAGAGAGAGAGAGAAAGAGACAGAGAGAGAGAGAGAGAGAGAGAGAGAGAGAGAGAAAGTGAAAGAGACAGAGAAAGAGGCCCCCCTTTCACAACGAACAAAACAATGCATCCTTCCCTCTCCCCGTCGTGGACTTGCTTCTCTTGCTCTCACCCTCTTGTATTTCCTTTTTCGCATCTAGAAAAAGACCCAAGAAGAAAGAAAATAAGCACGAGATATGATGACGGCTGTGAGATTGATTTGTTTTCTTGCGCGTGAGTTGTAAGAAGAAAGCCAAAGAAGAGGTTGAAGAGAGGAGACAAAGAATGAAGAAGGCAAAAGGCAAGGAATGAGGGGACTCAACCCAGCTCTAGGGGGAGGGGGAGCCCTCTTTTGCAACGATCTCGCCTAGAAGAAAGGAACAAAGAAGAAAGAAAGACAAAGAGAGAGAGAGAGAGGGAGAGAGAGCGAGGGGAGAGACGGAGAGAGAGGGGGAGAGACGGAGAGAGAGGGAGAGAGCGAGGGAGAGAGAGGGAGAGAGAGAGGGAGAGAAAGAGGGAGAGAAAGAGGGAGAGAAAGAGGGAGAGAAAGAGGGAGAGAAAGAGGGAGAGAAAGAGGGAGAGAAAGAGGGAGAGAAAGAGGGAGAGAAAGGGAGAGAAAGGGAGAGAAAGGGAGAGAAGAGAGAAGAGAGCAAACGAAGGTAGGAGATGGTTTTTCCTTGCGTAGTCATGTTTCTACTCTGCAAGAAGAGATCTGAACAGATCGAGAAGAGAGGCAAGGAAGTTTCTTCTTCCCTTTATTTATCCGCTGTTTCTCCAGAAGAAAACAGAGAGAAACATTCTTGTCCATTCCTTGTTGTTTCCCTCCTACTGTGTCTTCCTCTCTCGCTGACTGAGAAAAGACAAGACTGTTAAGATCAAGGACAGCGAAAAGGAACAGGGAATCCTTTTCTGCCTTTCTTATCTATCCTTTGAATTTCCTCAGAAAGAAGAACAGAAGACACACGAACGCAGGAGAGAAAGAAAGCACATGAGCAATCAGGAAATGCTTACACGTGATGTTGTCATGCGAGTTTGTGTGTATAGTAATCAATGTGTACTTTGCCTTATCCATCGAGTCATGGCTGAATGAAAACACAAGGACACGTCACATAATACGTAAAGGTTCCTGCCACAGATTTGCGTACATAATATATTCTAAATGAATGTATTTGCTCCCCCCTTCCACAATTTCTCATAGATTTGTCATGGGATCTTCACCCTTTTTGGTGAAAACCTGTTTTTTTTTTTTTTTTTTTGGGGGGGGGGGGTAGCAGATATAGATATATATATATATATACTACATACTATATATATATATATATACATACATATTATATATATATACATACATATTATATACATATATATGTATATGTATCGTATATATGTATGACTTATGACTCATCTGAGTGGCCAGAATTGCAATGACCAGGACACAGGCCATCACGGCCATCGTCCTGGCGCAGGCCAGCGCGCTGAGGAGCTGAGGAGGGGAGAACATGGGGGACACCCTAAATTCAAGCCAAAGGGTGTTGGCCCGGTGTTGGCGGCGCAACGCTGAACTTTGACCTTCCTAAGCTCCGGGGCACGGCTACTAAAGTTACTGGAGTGTTTAAGCCACTTTGACAAATTGTAACGATCTGGGGACCACGCATTTTAGGGCTACCACACAGCCGCTGCAAAATCAATTTTGGACGCGTCGGCACAGTCTCAAGAAGGCACGCCAACCGACTTATGAGGAAGACCTGACAGGAAACCATCTGTCTGCTGCGCCAACCCACCAAAGAGGAAGACGTAGCTAGCGCACGAAATCGGAGCACCAGATCCCAACAACTTTGGAACTTCCTTGCTTCTCATTAACACCCCCCCGCCCCGAGCTTTTGCAGCTAAGAACGCACCTTCTATCAGCAAAGTTAGAAAAGAACACTTTTGTAAGCTCCACAATCACACTTGTAAGCTCCACCATCACACGTGCACATCGAATGTATACGTAAAACTCGTGGTAAACATAAACGACACGCAAGCTAGTTTGTTTGGCATCTTGCTTTCCAACACCACTTTATGGAGCTCTCAAGCTCTCTGCCGCTGCCTCTTTTGCCTCGCATTCCGTGATCTGCGCAAAACCAAAGAACCAAGCATGCAAGCCTCTCTCTCTCTCTCTCTCTCTGCACGCACCCCCCCCCCCCCCCGAAGAGGAGAGCCGCCCCGGAGGGCTCTCTGTTTTTTCTCTCATCTTTCTTCTTTTCTATGGACGTCACGCTCTCCTGGCGTTCTGCCACCAAACTCGACGGCGCAGGTGCTCGGCATCCCGGCGGAAGCTGCTGGCGGACCTCGAGAGCAGACTCAGAGCTCTCTTCAACCGAGACTGACTCCGATTGACTCGACTCGTGTCGCGCTCTGCACACACGGGGCAGCTCTCTTCCTCTCTCGCTCTCTCCCTCTCCCTCTCCCTCTCCCTCTCCCTCTCCCTCTCCCTCCCCCCTCCTCCCTTCTCCCTCTCCCCCTACTCTCCCTCTCCCTCTCCCCTCCTCTCCTCTCCTCTCTCCTCTCCCTCTCCCTCTCCTCTCCCTCTCCCTCTCCCTCTCCCTCTCCCTCTCCCTCTCTCTCTTCTACTTTTCTTCTTCTTCTTCTTCTTCTTCTTCTTCTTCTTCTTCTTCTTGCTCTCTCTCTCTCTCTCTCTTGCACGCATGGGCTCTCTCTCTCTCTCTCTCTCTCTCTCTCTCTCCGCTTCTGGTAATTCACAAGGGCTCCCGGACGCTGAAAGAACTTCGCTGCGATGCACCAGCAAGTCGATCTTCTCCTGCATGCAGAGATCTTCGCAGGATCTCTAGCGGGTGTCCGAGCTGTTGAAGGCCTCTTACAGGATCTTCGATGTGAATATATATATATATATATATGACAAGAATATCCTCTCGAGCTCTTCTTTGTGAAGGGATGTTAATGTAGTCATGTCCTGCCGCTCCAGGATCTTGTCGATGCTGTCCATAAGGTGGTCGTTGATGTGCTGCACCTCTCTCTCTACTAGGTTACGAAGATCCAAATTGACATAGAAGACGCCCCCTGCGCACAAACTATGCGAAGCTTAGACGGCATCGGAATCACTAACCTTTAGGAAGCAGGGCCAAGCAGGGGAGATTTGGCCGCTTGACGCTAGCCGCAGTAGCTCAGGAGAAAACTCGCAGTGGGCTCCAAAGGAACATGAGACCGAACACTAAACTCACGTGACAATTCTCTCTCTCTCTCTCTCTCTCTTGCCTTGGCCATCATGGACTGCACGCGGTCCACATCCTGGGAGTTGTACCTCTCCATGAGCTCCCGGAGCCGCTCTCGGAAGTTCTCCTGCATCCCGTAGGCGATGGCGCTCTCCACCTGCTCCGCCGTGTACGCTTCCAGGAACCCATCCTCGAAACTCAAATAGTTTCTCACAACTTCACATACATTCTTCTTACTCTCCCAACTTTCTCCTCTCCGCTCTCAGCCTCTCCATCTCATCTTCTCTCTTTTATAGTTGCTCTCTCTCTCTCTCACAAAAGTCTGCTCGCTCTCTCATCTCTCTCCTGCACGGCTTGCAGGAAGCCGAAGGGGATGCGCCGGCCCAGGAGTCGCTCCGCCATACACACGAACCTAACAGAGATCCGTCAGAAAATGTCAGAAAGGAAAGAGAAAAGGAGAGAAAATGGAGAGAAAATGGAGAGAAAATGGAGAGAAAATGGAGAGAAAATGGAGAGAAAATGGAGAGAAAAGGGAAAGGAGAGTGAAGAGAAAGAGCTCAGAGCAAGATCTCTCGACGCTGAGAGGCCACAGGTTCAGGGATTGGTCCACGATGTAGTGGAAGGCATACTCGCCTCTGACAAGATCTTTCAGAGGGGAAGATGCCAGTGCCCTCGCCCACCGCCAGTGCTCTCGCATCGTCTTCTTCTCTTATCTTTCCATATCTTTCCTCACCCTCGGTAGGGGGGGGGTTCTTCGAAGTTCTTAGATTGTTAGATTTTAAGACCCAGAAGCCTGCAATTTCCCTTGCGAACCGCTAAAGACTTTTAGGCTCTGCTGTACCTGGATGACAATGAGAAAGACTCCGTGTGCGCTGCGCGTGTTAGACCCTGTAGGCCCTGTAGATTTGAGCTGTGAGTCCCTTCAGAAGCGAAACGAAGGTTAGCGTGCGATGCGTTCGATGCGTTCGTAGTCTCTGCGTAAACCATGGAGTCTACCAAGAGACGCCAAAAGAGCGGCAAGCTTGGGGGCCATCGGAGGTCCAACCCCGTTCTGGAGAGAACGAGCACAAGACACGTTTGTAGCCTGGAACTGTCTCGGCAGAAACCTCCCACAGTTGCGCAGACAGCCTGCGTCAGCCTGCACCAGCCTGCACAGCCTGCGTAGCAGTGGGTCCGTGGAAGATGGGAGCCGTGGCTGGACCACAGAGCCGAGTGCAAAAGGGCTTTTCTTTCTGAGCGAGTCGAGCTGCTCGACGCCTGGCAAATGAATTCGAGTGACACCACAGGAGCCAGAAGAGCTCGGGCGAAAGTGCTGTTTGGCGTGAAACCGGCAGCCAAGGCCAAAAGCCGTAGCCAAAAACAAGCAAGGGAGAAAATGGTGAGCCAAGGCCAACCCAACCCTCAACTAACCGGCTGTGAAAACCAAGGTCGCCTCTACAGAAGCCTAAGTCTCGTACTGGAAGATTTGAGGGAGGGCAGAAATGGTTTGCTCACTGGTCTCAATCTGAACAGGGGCCAACGCAGCCCCGTAGCCATACCCACTGTGGAGCAGGGATGGCATAGGCGGGTCGCGCAATGGGTGCAAGGCTGCCCAGCGGAAAGGCAGACGGCCCAGAGGGGCCCAATTGGGCCCTCCTGTAAGCGTGGTGTTATGCGTGCTCTCGAACTTCATTGCAAGGACGGTCGGCGCAAGGGCTAAGGGAGCTGATCCATGCGCACAAGAATCGCAAAAGGGCTATAGAAGTTCCAAGTTCAGATGGGCTTTGGAGGCGATGCGAGCAGTGCACATGGGACTGGTGGTTCTTGATTCAGAACATGAGCACAGTGAGCAACACTCCGTGCTGCGCTTGTTCGACCCCCGTAGGCTTGAGCTGTGAACTTTTCAGAAACCCTGTCTGAAAACGGCACACCAGGTGTAATGAGGGTGGGGATCCGCTTGGGGGTCAAGCAGGAGGCCGTCGGGAGATCCTGCTCGCGGCATGTTTTCATATGTTTTCATGTTTTCGCTCGCTCGACCTCCAAAATCCTCCAAAAGATGCTGCTTTCCCGCAATGGGCTCATGGCAAGAAAGCGAAACAAATCATCACAACGAAGACAGAAACAGCCAGATGCAAGAGCAACAGGTCGCGAGGGATCTGACTGAAGGCCTACACTGCACAGGAAGCGAGAAGCGAGGCATGCCGCCGACTGCTCTCTCTCCCGCTCTCTCTCCCGCTCTCTCACTCTCGCTCTTGAAGCACCCCCGCGGCCCCGCGGGCCGTAAATGTAAGATTTCCATTCATGGGTGCTCTCCAGCTTCTGGAGGATCTGGATGGTGGCCTCCGCAGCGAGCTCTCCAACAACGGCATACTTCAGTTGAGCATCTCAGGAAGGAGGGGAAAGATGAGAAAGAGAAACCTAGGACCTATGTAACCCCAAAAGAGAGAAGAGAAAGCTGTGAGACTCCGCTTCGCCCTCTTAGCGACCTCAGGATGCCCTGAAATTGAAACTCCCACTCTCTCGGGCTCTCTCTCTCCCTCTCCCTCTCCCTCTCCCTCTCTCTCTCTCTCTCTCTCTCTCTCTCCCTCTCCCTCACGCATGACCCCCCCGAAGGGAGGCCGCCCCCAGGGGCGCGTGCTGGTCTCGGGTCAGTTGGTGAAGACGGCTGAAGACGTCCATCTCGTGTTGAGAGGGCGCCCGGCTCGTTGGCCAAAACGCAGGAGTCAGGGGTTCAGTAAGAAGCTGCTACTGTTCGACTTCCCCCCTCTGTTCCTCCTGGTTTCTTCGATGGGTTTTGGGGTTCAGACTTCGTTATCCAACCAACACTTCGGAGCCGTACTACAAGGCAATCCTAACCCAACAGTATGTCCAACCTTGTCTTCCCCCTTCTGTGCTCGCATCGTTCTCCTAGTCACTGCTGGCCCCCTCATGCGTTCTCCTCCGTCTGCTGTCGTAGTCCCCTTCTGGTAATCTATGATCTCGACGGTGTGGTTCGTACCCCCCATGTGTTCGCCTTCGTCTTTGTGCTGGTAGTCGGTGGTCTCGTCGATGTAGTTCGCTCTCCCCCTTTGTTCGTCTTCTTCTTGGTGTGGTCTCTTCTGGGTCCGGTGGCTCCCCCGGCGAGGGGTATTCCTCCGTGGGTTCTCTGTCCTCCGTCTCCAGCTGTTGTGGTTGGTGTGGTGGGTGTGGATGTGAGTGGTACGGTGTGTGGTGCCGTGTCAGTGGGTGTGTGGCCGGTTGCTGGTGTGAAGGTGGTGACTCTCTCTCTCTCTCTCTCTCTCTCTCTCTGAGTGCTAGCTGCGAAGCAGCCCCAGACGCTTCCCGACATCCCGGTCGCCGAGCCAAGGCACTGAAGGGGTGCATGCCAACACCATCTTGCTGCTTTGTACGAAGCTGGGAGAGAACGACAGTTCGCATGGAGGAGCAGCACTATCTACGCAGACAGTGCAAAAAAAAAACATGCGAGAAAACAGCTTCGTTCAACATGAACAGCTTGCTGAGGCCGTTGAGGGGCAAGGGACAGTGTCCTGGCTCAAGTGCTCCCTGCGCGGGACACTTCTGAAAACATGCTTCATGCTATGAGCTGATACGGAGATTGTGATTCGTTCACTCATTCTCTCATTTGCTTCGATGCAATCGGGATCCCAGGTCTGGTTTCTTTCATCTTTGCTTTCACACGTGTACCAAGCGCAAGTGCCGCAAGGATTCGAGACTTCACCGCTGCAAGTTAAGTGAGCTTCTTGAGCAAATACCCCAGAGAAAGAGAGCGAGAGAGAGGGAGAGAGCACGAGACTGAAGACCTAAGCAGAACCGAACCCTGCCGTCAGACTCGAGGCACATGAGTTCAACACGGAACTCTAGGACACGGTGTGACACGGTGTGACTTGCAGTGACTGAGAACACGGACCAGCAAATCACGAACTCAGAAAGATCAGAGAAGGAGCATGCACTTCCCCAACTAATAGATTGGACCACCCCTTCCTGCTGAAAGTTGCCCGCCAAAGCAGTGTACTCGGCCAGAACCACTCTCTGTCCTGGAATACAGACGACCAGTGCACTAGCTGTACTGACTCGAAATATGGCGACAGCTGCAACAAAATCCCACGCTAGAGCAACGCCCTCAACTTGACCATCTGCCTCGGATGACGAGGGCATAGATGATCTGCGGCCTCTCCGATGTATAGATCTAGCATTGCGCATAGCATCAGCATCCGAATCAGCTCTCGACTGGCAGAACACACATTGAGAAAGGAGACCTTTCTCTGTCCATCAGACGAAGTCAGCTGAGGAAGCCGTGGCGCTTCAGACACCTCGCTACCCAGTATTAGCAGCAGCTAGCAGCCGCTCAGATGCAGCTCAGATGCAGCTAGCAATGCAACGATGCTTGCGACGATGCGATGTCTTAGTGCAGATTGAGATGTGCTTCTGCCGTCTTGTATGCACTGATGGACGTGGCGGATGGAAGTTTGGTTCACCACATGCATGATAATGCATGCTATGAGCTTGATCCACGAAAGCATCCAGCCAACCACCGAACCATCGTGAATAACCTCCTGCTTGCCCATGATCAACGGCTCCCGCCACTTGCCACTAATCGGAGAGTCTCACCGGCACCTTTTTGTCGTTCCGCGAGTTGGAAATCTCCAGGACGCAGAAGACGCACCGCGCCGGGGGGGTGGGAGCGGCACTCACGCAAAGCCCGGCCTCACTCTTATCGGGCCCACCATATTCAACGACAATTCTCGGAATGTTGAGAAGTACCATAGCAGCAGTTCCTGCCCTGGGCTATGCCTGGATGCTCAATCTGTTCAATGTCTGAGGCTCAGGCATTTGGTAAGGACCAAGTGAGAGTTGTGAGAGTTGGGGTTGTGTTTGAAGTGACGAAACGGGAAGGACCAGTTGCTGTTGAATTGGCATCGGCTGCAGGGATTGAAGGGACGGTGGCGGCGGTGGTTGGAGTGGGCTTGGATGGCTTGGATAGTGGAGTGGGGCCTGCAGCGGTTGCGGCAGTTGTTGGGCGAGTTGGTGGACGGGTTGCTGTAACAGTGGTTGCAGGGGCTGCCCCATCGTCGGGGCATTCAAGGGCTGCAAAGGCGCGGCGCCCAAGGGTGGCGCATTCAAGGGGGCGGCTATTGGGCCTGGCAAGGGGCCGCAACAGGACCCGCAAGACCCGCAGGACCCGCAGGACCCACATGCTCCGCAAGGTCCACAAGGCCCTCCGCAGGAACCGCACGGCGCGGAGCCGCACGGCGCTCCGCAGCCGCAAGGAGCGCCAGGTGCGTGTGCAGCCATGGGCTGGAGTCCTTGGCAGCCTTGGCAGCCTTGGCAGCCTTGGCAGCCTTGGCTGCCTTGGCTGAAGGTGTCGGAAGGAAATGAAGGGGGCGGGGGAGGCGGATCGGAGAAGCCCTGACCCAGGTCATTGCCAGGGTGTCCCAAGCCATCTCCAAATCCACAGCCTGAACAGCCTGAACAGCCTGAATTGCCCCAGTCGTCACTGAGTCCAAGTCCACTGAGTCCACCCCAGGTTCCGTCGTTTCCTTTGGTGCCCTTGCCATGTGGTGGCGGAGGGGGGTTAATGCCACTGCCAAAGTCACCACCTTTGCCATACTGCCAGTTGCCGCCCCAATTGCCACCAGCAGGAACACCAGCAGAGCCACCACCACCACCTCCCCAGTTTCCCCATGTCTCTCGCTCGGCCAGTCTCTGCTGGACCAAGTCTTTTGCTTTCTCAACCGCCTCTTGGCTTCCAGCAAACCGGACAGTGCTAAAACCTTGTCCCTTGGTCTCCTGGCTCAACACAATGATTGCACCACTCTCGGCTTTGATCTGCCGCAAGGTCTCACCCCCACGGCCGATGATTGCTCCCACCTGGCCTCAGCTCTCACAGGTCTCAGAGCCCGGCATTGTTGTGAACCAGTGAGGACTTCTTAGGTCGCCAGCCTTGAGGAACTGAAAGTTCCTCGTACTCACCTGACACAGCGAAGGCCAAGCCATGCCAAGCCCAAGTGCAAATACAAGCAGCAACTCGATTCGAGAACCGCAGCTGTCTTCTGCAGTTCGCACCTGCAGGCGCGCGCTGCACCGCTGCCTTCACAAGCCCGCGCGCAGGCACAAGCAAGTTCGCTTTGCACAGATTTCTCGCGATCTGCCGTGTTCGTGGTAACTGAATACGCGAATGTGGAAGTGAGACACTGTGGGAAGTAGGCTTCGGACCTCCTTCACCTGATCCAACCTGGACAGTGCGACAGAGGCCATTCATATCAACCATATCTCATGGCACCCGCAGTACCGCGCTGCCCTGTGCAGCGCCTGTATTTCACCATCTCCGAAGCTTCTCGCAAGCCTGGCCTGAGTCGGCTGAGTCGCACACTGGCAGTGTACTGGACAACACAATTCAAACAGATGCTAAGAAAACTTATGGCAACTCTGAAGGGCCAGGCCCATCCATGATTCGGATCATGCTGTACCTACCAGGTTCCACTGTTCCGACGAAGCTCCACAGTGCCACAGTCCCTAGGGCCCTGGAGGAAATCCAAGAAATCTCGAGGCACCCATAGTCCTTCGTCTCCTGGTCGATTACCTCACACTCTGACGATCTTGCTCTGCAACTCTGTGGAGCACCAGGACCCCGGCCACAGTGGCACCCGTCTGTGCCTTGATTCTGCAAGGCAAAAAAACAACAAAAGGAAAAAAGAATAAAATAATTAAAAAAAACTGCTGTCCTGCGATAAACTCCACCCGGAGATGCGACGCGACTCGATGCGACTTGGACACCTGTATCCGCTTGATGTACTCGCCCTGCTTGCCGATGAAGAACCCCACGGCAGACCTTGGGAAAACTCATAAGAGAACTTCACCGTGCTTTTTTTCTCTACTTCTCACTTCAATTTACTCTGAACTTTCTCTGTGATCCCCTCTGATCCCCGATCCTCCACCCCAAGGCCCCCGACTGCTCGATTTGCGTCTCCCAACCTCGGAGTAACGCGAGCGCAAGTGAAGGGCCCTTTCCGCTCAGAGTCGGGGCATCCTCCCTCCCCATGTCCCACCCCATGCCTCCCCAACCCACCCCCCCCGCCCCACACCCCAAAGAAACGCTAAAGTTCTTCTGCAACCTGGTTTACAGCCTGCTCCAACACCCCCCAAAAAAACGTCAAGGTTCTTCTTTATCCTGGTTTACAACTTGCGCCCACCGACATTTTTAGTGCTTTTCCTGTACCCCTACTCAAACCCATCCCCTACCCCCACACCCCATGCCTCCCTCCCCAATCCCACCCCACACAGCCCGGGATGACTGGGACGGGGGCATGGGGGGGTATTGGGGGGGCATAGGGAGGGGTCGGGGCTTGGGGGGCCCCCCCAACCCATGCCCCCCTAGAAACCCTACGTCCTACGTCAGGCGCCCTAACCCGAGACCCTAAACCCTCGGCCCTGAACCCTAAACCCTGAAGCCCCTGCCCTTCTACTCTCTCGCTGGCGCCTTTTCCGGGGTCGGCGGAAGCGGCCTTAGCCCTTAGATAAGCTCAGAACCGTTAAAAGCAAAAACCGCAAACAACAAATCCGCTTGTAAAACATCCTTAACTTTCACAAAGCCTCGCGGAGAGGCGAGAAAACGCGCAGCGCGCTTCAAGGTCCCCGGGCCAACGGCGCCATTCCCCGTGTCGTGGGGCACCTCGCGCGTGGTCTCGCATACGTGCAGAGGGTATGTGTATGAATACATGAACACTGGTTAGAATGCATGGGTTGTGTTCGAGAGAGCCTCGTGGGCCTAGCGGAAACACTGCCAAACCCCGTCCTCACGGCGGTTGGACTGGACGTTCGTGCGTTTCTCGCTGATGCGGCCGTCCAAGAGCGCCTTGGCCACGGCCACCGCCTCAGGAATGTGCAGGAAGACAGTACGCATGTGCTTCAATCATACACACACACAAACACACAAACACACACACACACACACACACAAGAAAACACACACACACACACACACACACACACAGACAGAGACAAACACACGCGCGCACACACACACACAAACACACGCTCACACACTTTGCGTTGTGCATTCCGTCCCGCTCCAATCTTTGGAGCGCCCACCCTTGCCCCTACCCCAGAAACAAAGAAAAGGAGCAAACAAACAAAAGAGAGAGAAGTGCCCATATGCAGGGAATCCCGAGTGTCACGCAGAGTGACCCAACCCCCAAAGAATGCCCGCCTCCACCCAATTATCCCTGAAGTCCACTCAAAATAAAGGCTCCAACATCGGTGTGATAACTCTTTTAATGGTCTAAATAGCTGTAGGTCTTCTCTTGTTTTTGTTTTTGTTCTTTCGGCATTATCGCTCCCTCTTTCTAACGTCTCTTTCCCCTCCACCCTCTCTCTCTCTCTCTCTGTCTCGCTCTCGCTCTCTCTCTCGCTCTCTCTCGAATGGGAAGCAGGCTTGGATTCATGTCCGGGGAGAGAAAGTAAGCACAGGTGATCAGACAGAGCTTCATTGAAGCAGCTTCATTGGCAGAGGGCCCCTCTGCTCGTTGCACAGACTCACCCTGAAGAATCCGCGGGCCGTAGGTGTCTAGGTTGTCAGAACACCCCCCGGGTCACCCGACCAGCTTGCCTTGATCTGGCAGCCCTTTGTGTGAGCTTTATTGAATTGGAATGGGTACTTTTTGTAGGCAACAGGCGGGTGCAGGACCCGCCTTCCCCCCTTCAACGTCCGCCTGGCGTGGCGTGGCGTCAGAGTTGGAGCCTTCTTTGCGGGCAGCTGTGTTGGGCCTCAAGTTCCTCAAGTCCAGCAAGGCACGGAGAGACGGTTGGAGACTCGCCCCGCCTGTTCAGAGCCCGTGATTCGGACCATGCTGTACCCCATCTCCTGGCCCCCAGCCCAGCCAGAGAGGCTCCAAGAGAGAGAGCAAGAGAGAGAGGAATGCAAGAGAGAGAGGAAGAGAGAGAGCAATGCAAGCAATGCAAGAGAGAGGAAGGGGTCCTTGGAGGTCTGGTCGATCTTGATGGTCGCGGTGCTGCTGACTTCCATACTCCGCAAGGTCTCGCCGCCCTTGCCAATCAGGAATCCTCAGACTTGGACTCCACTGTCACAAGACGTAACACAAGATGTAACACAAGATCTAGTCTTTTTCTCTAATATTTAAGTCACGCGCCCACAACGCCCTGATCCACCTGTGACACTGGGAGATGCTGGGAGATGCTGGGAGATGCTGGGAGATGCTGGGAGATGCTGGGAGATGCTGGGAGATGCTCAGGCGTCACCAAATTGCACTCCCAGAACGTCCCAGAACACCAAGTCTGACCTTGAACTCGACCACTGCTGCGCCAGGAGGCACCTCGGAAAATCACGGAAAAATCACATCCCATCACAAGCAGCTTTCACAACGACACGCGCGGAAAAGCAAGAAAAGCAGCGACCGAGCAGATGCGAGCAACAATTCAAGTCCACCGTTGAGAGCCGCACAGACATGGGGATCGTGGGCGGCGCTGCAGGCAGTGCCTCAGCCGTGTTTTGGCCCGTTCTCCGTGGTCTTCGACATGCAAGGATCACGCTGGCGCCTCATTACGCTCTCACGCGCTCTTCCCCACTCTCACACATGCTCGTGTGCTGCGTCAACCACGCGCCACGGCGCCACGCATCGCCACGCGCCTGCGTGCCATCCCCAACATCGTCCCAGCCACTCCTGCGGCCAAGGACGACTCATTTGCTACTCATGCCCTTTATCACAAAGGAAGGCACCTTATAAGAACAGCATCATGCTCCGCTATTGAATTAAATCCTTCCTGTCCTATGTGGCCGTTCGATTAGGCGGTCATCAAAGATGCGGGGGGGGGGCTCCCGCCTGCGCTTCCTGGGCCTCTCCGTCTGCTTGGACGCCGTCTCCACAGCGGCATCCGCAGCCTGCGGCGGCGGGGAGAGAGAGAGGTCCAAGGAGAGAGAAGAGAGGCGGGAGGAGAGAGATGTCCGAGAGAGAATTGGTGGGAGTTTTTTTTTGGGGGGGGGGGGGGGGGGGAGATTTTGGGACGTCCATCCCCAACCTGTGCGGAATCCTCGGCAGGGCCTCTGTGATAGGACACGGACAGATGACTCAGCGATCAACACTGGAGCATGGCACCGTAAGATAAACGAGCCCCGTGCGTTTGCGGTCGCCATCAGTTTCCCCCATGACTGGAGGCCCTGCTGGAGCCCCGTCTCAGTCGCATGCGTTGCGTGATGCCGGTGAATGTCTCAACTGCGACTGTCCCAACTGCAAGTGACATCTGACATCTTGTGACGTTTTCCCCGCTCGGACTCTCGGCCCAGCTCAGGCTCTCAGCCCTGCTCCCAGCTCAGCCCAGCCCGCATTTTTTGTCACAGGACACACGGGCAGTGCACTCAGCGCAGCTCAATTTCCACACTCCCACGGCTTTCCGTGGGAAGGCAGTGACCGTTCTTCGGCCCTGAAGGCAACTCACTGGCAACTCACTGGCAACTCACTGGTCCCTTTCCAGGGCATCCTCGAGATCCTTCCGTGCCTCTCCGAGCAATGAGCAATGGCAGCTACAAGGGGCCGAAAGTCATATCAGACTTTCAATCACAGTGATCGGTCTCTGGTACAACTTCTATTGTTGAAGATAGAGATATGGAGATGAGAGAGAATCAGACGGAGAGGGAGAGAGTCAAAAATTGTGACACGGATGGTCGAGAGAGGTTTACCAAAGGTTTTTTGGCGATGTTGGTACTGAGAGTTTTCCTTTGCCTGTCGCAAGTCCTCCAAGCTCTTTGTTGCCAAGGCACCTCAGATTGATGAATTGACGACAAGAAAAAGCGCCAGAAGTAACAGGGAATGTCACATCTTGGAGCTGAGTTGGATCTCGCTATGCCGCCATTCCGCTATCCCAGTTAAGTTCTCGAGCTGTCTCGACGTGAGTCAATGGACAAGCGCCGTCTCGCTGGGCACTGGCCACTCACTGGGCATCGTGCGCTTCTTGGCCCAGGCCTCACTCTCTGAAGCGTGTGTAATGCATTGCTGCATTGTGTGAATTGCCTTTTGTGAGTTGCCTTCGTTGCTGACTTCTCTGCTGTTGTAGTGATTGTAGTGCTGTGCATACGCGCCAGAGAACACGCCTGCTTGAAGTCTTTCACGCTCTTCGTTTCTGCTTCCTCGGACTCGCCTTCATAGTGTGACAACTGAGTACCGCAACAACAGAATGCGTCAGAATGCGAGAAATGCGAAGAATGCGCGAGAAATGTTAGGCCTCCGCTGCCATCGACCAAGGCCTGCAGAGCGGAACGTCGCACTGTGATTTCATTTGGGCTTCCTGCCCTTCTCCCACTCTCGACTGTCACAGAGAAGGGGATACCTTCAGCTTCTCCCATCCGCCTCGTGCACAAGTTGAAAGCAGACTTTGTCACACCAATCTCTGGGGCCCTAGGGCCCGCACCCTTCTGAGCCCAGACCTTCGGTTGAACGTCATGCGAAGCACACACACACACACACCCACACAGAGACACGCACGCACGCACGCCACCACCCCACCCCACCCCACACCCCACACCCCACACCCCACACCCCACACCCCACACCCCACACCCCACACCCCACACCCCACACCCCACACCCCACACCCCACACCCCACACCCCACACCCCACACCCCACACCCCACACCCCACACCCCACACCCCACACCCCACACCCCACACCCCACACCCCACACCCCACACCCCACAACCCACACCCACACCCCACACCCCAACACCCCACACCCCCACCCCACCCCCACACCCCACACACCCACACACACCCCACCACACCCCACACCCCACACCCCACACCCACACACACCCACACCCCACAACCCACACCCACACCCCACACCCACACCCCACCCACACCCCCACCCACCCCACACCCCACACCCCACACCCCACACCCCCACACCAACACCACCCCACACACACCCCACACCCCACCCCACACCCCCACACCACCCCACACCCCACACCCCACACCCCACACCACACCCCCCCACCACCCCACACCCCCACCCCACACCCACACCCACACCCCACACCCCACACCCCCACACACCCCACCACACACCCCCCCCACACCCACACCCCCCCACCCCACACCCCACACCCCACACCCACACCCCACCCCACACCCCACCCACACCCCACCACCCCACACCCCACACCCCCCACCCACACCCCACACCCCAACCCCACACCACCACCCCACAACACCCCACACCAACCCCCACACCCCACCCAACCCACACCCCACACCCCACACCCCACACCCCAACCCCACACCCCACACCCCACCCCCCACACCCCACACCCCACACCCCACACCCCACCCCACCCCACACGCATGCACATACGCACGCACGTACGCACGCACACACGCACACACGCACACACGGACACACGCACACAAACAACACGCACGATACGCGCAACGCGCACAACACGCACGACACACAAACGACACGCACCAGCACGCACCACACGCGCAACACGCGTCTCGCGCACGACACGCACAACACGCACAACACGCGCGACAAGCGCAACACGCGCGACACGCGCAACACACAACACACAAACATCGTGCAAGCGCAACGAGCCCGCGCTTTCCCTGCAGCCTGGGACTCCTCGGCGATAAATACGCCAAAACCCATCAGTTTGTTGGTGAAACTGCCGGCTGCCTGCCACATCTGCCAGTTGCACCGCTCAGACCCAGGGTATTACTGGGGAGATGTGGTGAGTGTAGCCACGAAACAAGATTCTCCTTTTGCGTGAACGGAGTTCCTCAAAGTACGCACGAATCAGATTCTATCACCTTCGTGTCCTTCTTGTTATCGGCATCACAATGTGAGACAATGATTTACACGTGCGAGGCCTTGCCTCTGAAACGATGAGGAATGAAAGCGGAGGGGGGGGGGTAAGACACTTAAAGGCTGTGCTGCACGTGTGTGCCTTGTAAACACATACTTTACAAAGGAAACACCCGCAGAATAGACGCAACGCACCCGCAGAATAGACGCAATGCACCCCGTCAGCGCTCTGTGTCCTGGGTGGGGGCGCGGAGGGCGCGGAGGGCGCGGAGGGGGCGCGGAGGGCGCGGAGGGGGCGCGGAGGGTGCGGGCGCGGAGGGCGCGGAGGGCACGGAGGGTGCGGAGGGGGCGCGATGGGCGCGCGGAGGGTGCGGATGAGGGAGGGCGGGCGGGGGGCGCGGAGGGCGCGGGGGGCGCGGAGGGTGCGGGAGCGTGGAGCGCGCAGAGGGCGCAGAGGGCGCGGAGGGCGCGAAGTGTGCAGAGGGCGGAAGGGCGCGGAGGGCGCGGAGGGTGCGGACGCCGCGGGCTTGCAAACGCGGAGGGCGCGGAGGGGGCATCCACGTGTCCCCATATCCCCTGCCCATCAACCGAATGTCGCTCCCCTTCCGCGCCGAACCCGTCCGTCAACCTCCATGCATGGTCCGCGGCCTCCCGTCAAAATTCATTCCGTCCGACCCTCCAAGAATTTGAAGCGCCAAACGAGAACCCAATTTCAGAATTGGTTTTCGGGGAAAATCCAAGAAAACAAATAGCACGCGCAGAATAGACGTTAAGCGTCCAAGGCGACGCCCTTGCCCCCCTTTTGCCGATTGAAAACGTCCGGATGTGGATGGGCCACCGAGGGTGTGCCACCACTATTCCGCCCATGCATGAGCAGTATATATATATATATACAAAAATGTACCCCCTATGACCTACCGTGAGGCCGTGTCGGAGTAAGAAATCCATACTTAGTCATGGGTATGCTTTTAAGGGCTTGGAATCATATTTGAGTCAGAGGAACTCTGTATCAAACGTCACGGGAATGCTATTAAAAATGTAGAAAAATCAGAGAACCCCATGAAGAATAGTAAGGAGCCTGTGAAAATGAAAAGGGACCCTTTTTGAATTCACGGGAATGTGGGAATTCCATTAAATCTACATAGGCATCCTGTTAATATTTCTCTGAATCTTGTTATGATGAATTAGAATCCTATTAAATTTTGTAAGGAACCCCACCAAAATTCATAAGAACCGTTTTACAAATTAAGAGGAATCTTTCAAATGAAGAGGGTCCTACCATCAATAGGAATTTACAAGCAACACCACTAAAAACTATAAGAACCCTATTGCAAATTAATAGGAATCCTTTGAAAATGAAGAGGAATCCCAATAAATTAATCGGAATGAATAGGAATCCTACAAATACATATATGAAAATTTGTGAGAATATTCTGAAATGGTAGGGGAGTCCTTGGTAGAGGAGTCCCTTTAAGATGGTTAGGAACCCTTTGACGCTAATCGGAACTGATTAGGAACCCCAGTAAAATTGATAAGAACCCCATTACGAGTTGATAGGAACCCTATTACAATGAAGAGGAATCCCATTGAAATGAATAGGAACCAATAGGAATCCTACAAAATTCAATGTGGTTCCTTTTCAAAATTTCTTGGCTTCCTGTTAGACTTAATGTGATCCTATTAGACTTAATAGGACTAGGAATGCTATTCAAATTTGAAAAGAATACCATTAAAATTACTTGGAGACGCACTAAAATGAATAGGCACCAATATGAATCTGAAAAAAGATTTTTCATTTCAGAGGAACCCTATTGGAATTGAAAGAACCACGTTAAATGATTAAGAACCTTGTTGAAATGCATAAGAACCCTATTGAAAAGCATTAGGAATCCTCTGATTCTGAACAAGAACACTCTGAAAGTTCATAAGAACATAAGTAAAAGGAGAAGAAGTCCGATAAAGATGGTTAGGAACCCTTTTACATTAATAGGAATAGGAATGCTATAATTTAAGACTGACCGAAACCAACTAGCCTCCAAGCATGCTGACACGTCCTGCTTCGAACCAAAACCGTCCACTGGACAGCTACATGTAGAGCTGAACAGTTCTGGCCCGAGAGAGGCACGAGGCAAAACAAAAAAACCGAAAAACCCATCTTTTTTTAGGGAATGGGGAGGGGATTTTGAAAAAGATTGTTTTTTTGGGTTTTGCCTCGTAAAAAGATGGTTTTGCATAGGAAAACAAACTTTTCCCTCGCAACAAGATGGTTTTCACTAAGAACACCAAGCCAACACCATCTTTTTACAAGGGAAAAGTTGGTTTTCCTATGAAATCCTTTACGA